CATTCAGTACTGTAGCTTATGCTCCCTACAATTCTGCTACACCAAAGTTAAATATTTTAGATTGTCACACTGAAGAAAAATTGTATTTTGTAATGATCAGTAAAAAGTTGTGTACTTCCACTGTAATTATCTTGGTTGGTGTTCATGTGATATTACCCAAAGTCCTTTTTAGATCAGTCATTTCAAACTTTATTCCTATGATGCCTTCAAAATCAAAACTGACACAGAATTAACATGATCAAGATTAATAAAAAAGATTAACATTAACATTTGATAAAACAAGATTAATATTATCTGACAGACCAATTTAAAAATTAAAAATCTTCCCTTTTTTTTTTACTCTCAACTGTGTATTTTTCAAGCAAATCACCAAACTCAGTTTTCAGTTCAGATTGACAAGTACGGCACAATATTTAAAAACACGTTAGCAAAATGCTGGGTTTGATATTGGTGACTGCTAAATATTTTCTGTTGTACAAGATTCGTTTCACTAGGAATTAATTGCCTATATTTGTTAAATTGATTGGATGCTAAGCCTGATAGTCCATAAATATGCTTACCAGCTTGCTTTTGTGGTCTGTTGATCATTATTATAGTTGTATAATATAATTGTAAATATAGTTGTACAATATAATTCTAAAATATGTATATTTTACAGTCTGAATCTTTTTAAGTATATGCTTCTAATTATTGTAGAGTAGAACCACACTGAAGTTTGTTGCATTTAATTTTCTGCTTAACTGATACATTTGGAATCTGAACTAAAAATGTTCTAAAGGCGTGATGAAATCTGAAAGTACCAGCATCTAAATACTGGTATGTTGAAAAATATACACTTAGTTTTGGTGTTAGTAGAGCCCCGTCACTGAAAATCTGGAGTATTTACTGTTGTAGCTATTGAATAAGGAACAATTTAAAAGCAGCCAATTGTTTGGGTTTTTTTGTCCCCTGCCCCTCCCTTAAAAATACTTCCTGACCAGAAGAAATATCACATTTAATTACTAAAATCAACTTCACTAGGGGTTATTAATAGACGTACACATAAAAAACCTTACTACTCAGTGGGTGAAATGGGAGCATTTCATTATATACTATAGCATGCATGAACAGATAACAATTAGAACAGACCTGGAGTAAAAGTCTAATAAAATGTAGGGCACATTGTACTGCAAACTAGTCACTTAAAATATTTCCCACCCATCATCATATTTGAGTTCTGTAATCAACCCTTTGGACCAAATCAGTTAAAAGAAAATAAAAGATAATCCCATAAAATAATTTAATGTAATAAATCTCAAAACTCACAATTTTGTTTAAATTGTTACTATAAATTAAAATACAGAAGAAATCCCAAAGAATCCAACAGCTCCAGAAAAGATGCATGTACACAGAGTACACAGTATGATTTACTTTGGAGTCAAAGAAGCAGTTGTCTATAATTTCCTGAGCTCAGCATAAACTATGTGCTGATGTGATTTTTGTAGCACTGGAAGTAATTCTCATTATTGCAGCTGATAGTAAATATTCTATTATCCATGGTAAGTGACATAGATTTAGTGTCTGGGAGGGAAAAAGAAACTAAATGGTCAGCATTACACCCTTGCTATGATGAGCTCAATATTACAAAGCTACTGCTTTCTAACTGTGCTCTTTCTGATGTTTATAATTTTAACTGGAAATATAAAAACTGCATTTATAAAATATTTTACATCTATTAATACACATTTATGTCTCAAAACATCTTAACAAAGAGGATGGGCTGTCAGCGGCAGAAGAACAGAAGTAAATCGAACACTGACAACAGCGTATGTGGGTGTAAAAGGCGGGGAGGGGGGGGAGTATTTGAGCAAGACATGGACTACAGCCAGTTGTTCCTGTCTCTTGTGATTGATGATGTTGGTGTATCAAATTAGCTGTGAATATTGGAGCTTAAAAATTAAGAGTAGTTGCAGAGACATTAAAATGCTTTCTTTGCAAGGCTGGTATGTGGATAGTGACTAAATTTTTGCTCCTAAACAAACGCCTTGCATAAGACCCTACTGCTTTTCTATTTTTTACCTCAGAAGTAAATGTTTTTTGATATTATACTATTATTCCTTAAATAAAGGTTTCATTATTCTTTGTTTGTATTTTCTATTAATTTATTTTAGGATTCATATTATGCTGTAAGAGTATTTATTTGGTTTATGCATTTCACCTGTGCAAGCAGTAGATTTTTTTTTTTTTTTTTTGGTTTGTAATGAATGGTTAGTGGAATAACAACAAAGTACAGTACCTTATTATCCTGTTATCTTGTGACAACACTTATAGCATGTCTTTTGTGGGATAGAGGTAAAAATCTCACTCTAAATAAAGAGGTATCCTTTTGAATTTGGGATAGTTGATAGGAGTGCACCCATGAATATAAATTAACTTAATGTACTTCTGAGTGTGTATTTGGAACATTTAGAGTGCTTTTGTCAAATAATTGACAAGCGCACTTGCATCTTTTTTTCCCCAATTAAACTTTTATGTGGCAGGACAGGTGCATTGGCAGCACGCCATTCATCAGGGAAAGCATTTGAAATACAGAGTTACATACTGGTATCTGGGTGGACTCTAGCTGACCACATGAATGAATGTGGATTTTAAATGTATTTATTATGCCTATGTAAGGCTGCAGAGAAATATCCTGTACTTGTGACAAAGGCTAGACAGCTCTTCAGGACTGTAAAAGGACCACTTTAACATAGCATGTTCATGCTAGTTTACTTGTGTCTGTTTCTTCTGATGACCTGTAACTTGCTGCTTCTGCAGATACCGGGGTTTAGTGCCAATGGGATCTCAGGCAATTTGGGCTAGCAAGTCTACAGAATGGTTTTGGTGATCTTTCTTGGTAAACTTGAAGA